GTGGGGAGAAGCTGAGTGCTTTGTACAAACTAAGCCATTTATCATAGGGACTTCCGAGAATCCCTTTTACTAAACCAGTGTCTTCCTGCATATTATACAGCAAGCCATGGCACACCAGGAGGAACAAGGGCACTCCAGCAAGGCTGGCTGTTTCACTAGATAGCAAGGAACCCTAAGATCTGGCAGGAATCACATCTCTCTGTAGATTCCAACATGTTAAAAGTGTAATGTGATATCAATACAGGGAAAAACAGAAGGTAGATTTCATGAATCAGGCTTAATTAGCAAGTTAGCTAAACCTGGTATCAGCCAAACTGTTCATCTTATCCATAAGTTTTTCTCAGAACTGAAAAAAAATCAGATGCTAGACATGAACTTTTGGAAGCTGGAAAAACAGGTATAAAGAAAGAAAATGGTACCTAATAGATTGCAATACTCTCAACTCCCTTGTTTCAGCTATAATGCACAATATACTTAATAGGAAGTATGTCTAAGAAATAGACTAACTCTGCTTGCAAGAAAAAAGGGTGTCTATCTCCTGTCTGTGCTTAGAAGGTACACAGAAGGAAAAAAAAAAAAAAGCATTATTGCTTAATGTGGGTAAGTCTGCAAGTCTTGATGAAAATTAATTGTAATCATGTTAAGAACATTCAGTTGATAATTTTTTTTTTCTAAAGCAGGCCTTAGCTATGTGGGTAAATGGGGTTTTGGTCTTACAGCTGAGAAAAAATTGACTTAAGACCATACCAGAAGGCTTTGACAGAACACTGTATGTGTATGTTGTAATGGGCACATAGATACTCTATATACTGGTATATTTTTATTTACTGGAGGTACTCTTCAGAGCTTTGTAGAGCAGATGCAGTTTTCTAGCCACAGCAGCCATTTAAAAACTCGAAGTTACTTCTCCCAGAGAAAACTGGGATTATATCAAAGAAGTTTAGTTCCTCACAACAAAATTCTGTGCTTGATTTCCAATACCAAAATTGTAACATCACAACTTTTTCATAAGAATTAAATAGAAGCAGAAATAAAGGGGGAAGAAAAAGCTTTTAGCGTGTTAACTCTCCACGGCAGGAGGAAGCCAGCATGGGCATTGAGCTCAGCACACTCATCCCCTTCTCCCTGCTGAAAGGGACACAAAAAGAACTCTGGCTAAGCATTTATTTTTCTGCTAATGTGAAAGTTTTCTTTTAAAGAGGAAGCAGATTGAACAGAGCACGAGAAAAAAATTTGACTCTGGCTTATTTCCAAAGGGTTTTTTTCCTGATGATTCACTGTTATCACTTGTATTCACATTACAACCAGCCTCAAAAAGAAATACCCAAAACCGAAACCAACTCCCCCCTACACCCAATAACAAAAACCCCATAGCACAAAAGCACTAACAAATAGGATCTTTCCTACTGCTAAATTCTGCTAATAAGCTATATGAGAAGAGAATCATGTAAGATAAGAGTGTCCATGTTCATTCACATTTGAGTAGTAACATAGCTGAGCCTCTAGATCTAGAACTTTAGAGCACATCTAAAAGATGAATTGCCAAGGTATTAAACAAAATGGCTGACACTGATTGAACTTGTCGTTTTACTTCAGCTATATAATAAAATAGAAAACATCTAAATACCTCTGAAGTCTAAAATGTTTAATTTTTCAGTATAATCTTTCCAGTAGTTTTATTTTCAAACAGGATTTTGTTTAGATATTCAGGAAGGAGACATAACTTCTAATTCTCTGAAAACACGAACACAAAATTTTATGTGAGATCTCTCACCCTCAGCCCTTGTGGCGGTCAATTGTGAATGCCCAGTTTATACAGCAATTCACAAACATACCACTTTTACATGGGCACTCAAGCTTAAAGCAGGTAAATCAAGGCCAAAAGGAGTGCTGGTAGGATTGCTTTGTGTACGTGATTAAAAGATGATAAGGATGCTTGTTATAGGCTTCTGCTACTTACACCTCTTGACACAACCTAGCACACAATTTCATTCTCCCTGCCTGCAATGATATTAACAGACAGGTAAGGATATAAAGCTAACTTGAGCTCAAACACAAATCTATAGTTTCAGTAATGTTTGGTTTTTGGTTTTTTTCATTTTCAGGAGTAGATGTATGTTTTACCTGCAGATGTACACAAGGCAACAGATTGTATGACTAGGGCTCAGTGCAGCAGGATCCACAGTTCAACTGTTGTTTGTTGTTGTTTTTTTTTTTCTAGTTCAAGTGATCAGCACTAATACTACTAAAGTACTGCTAATGAGAGAGATGCAATGTCTTCTTACTCCATCCTGACTGTCCCATGGCTTCTGGTTTGTTTTTTGGGTTTTTTCTTTCACATAATAGAACTGTCTGCCATCCTTGCAACCAGAGCATGATCACTTCTAGCTGGAAGAAAGCCTGACAGTAGCAAGCAGATCTTGTTTAATATGATTGTAGCTCTATACTCTAGACATGTTTTCATACAAATTCAGTATCTACAACTTCTTATAAATACCAGTCACAACAGGATTCCCAATTCCCCCTCTTACCTCCCAAATTCAGGACTCCCACCACTATCTCTAATCATTACATTTTTGGGTTCCAATAGACAATTTCCCTCCCATTTGCCACCCCCACCCCAAAGGCTTTGTGGGTTTTTGACACTTATCTAGGAGCCCTAGGCTTATTATTTGGAAGAATGGTGAGACCCAAGCATGAAACTGTGATGCTGTCCTCTTGATGTTTGGAGCCCACACACTCATATGTCTGACACAGCCCAGCATTACCTGGGTGCTGGTGTTTAGGACCCCATAGTCTGGCCAGCCTCTATCTCATAGAGAAAGCTCTATTTTTTTTTTAGTAACTTTGTTTTTGTTGCAAGGCCAAGAACATGAAAGAACAGCAGGCAGCATTTCCAAAATCTCCACACTAGCTTATGCCATTAGCCATGCAAGAGCTGCACTAGCAAAAAGCCGTAAGAGAACAAACGGGTTTATGCCAGCAGAGGTCAGTGGGTGACTCTCTTGCCAAATGTTTCAGATGCACACTGTGTATTACAGATACAGTTTCAAAGTCAGCTATGCTCCCTCACCCTGGAACATGGAAAGCCATTCTTTGACTAGATGCAACCATTTTACCCTTTTTGATCCCATTAGCCTACCCAAGCAAATGATGTACTTTGTTATGTTACCATCTCCTTGCTTTTCTCTTTAAAATATGTTTTTAGGTTTCTGGTAGACAAAATAAAGGTATATTAGTCCATGAGGCTAGGAAGGGAGACAGAGTAGTTTCCAAAGCTAATGCCTATTTTTAAAATTTCCATTGTATCTCCCTACACTAATGTAACCGCTTAAGCGGCTGAGTGTGTTGGTCTGGAATGTACAGTGTATTCTACTTCATCAGCCTGTGAAGCAACACTTCAATGCTATATTTGTAACTTACATATAATGACAAAAAAGTTTGCTTAATAGGTAAGGAAGACAAAAACCCTTCACTCAAGATTTGAAAAGACCTAATACTCCAACATTTGACTTAATTAAAAAGCAAGTGAGACAGGGAAGAAGCAAAAAACATACATACTAACATATACCTGTCCAAGAGAATCTTCTGATAGGAGGTTTTGGCCAATTTCATCAGTAGATACTATATCACTGTAATAAAAAGTTCATTCATAAGCAAGCTTATGGTTTTATTTACATACTTAACTTTTTTTAAAAAAAAGCTATCACTCACCCTTCCAGCATAGTCACTTCTTTCAGACTATTACATAGCCACAAATGCCCTTCCCATCCACCTCCTGTCACAGGGAACAAAGGTCCAAGGAATCGAAGGGTGTAATTTGCCAATTAGTCTTTTCATTATTCTATTTCTAGCAGTTATAAATGATAATACCAGGTTAAAAAAAAAATTGAAGTTATATCAGACCTCAGCACAATATCATCTGGCCCTAAAGTTGAGAGGAGTGAGGGGAGTATGAACTCATACAGCCTTTTTAAATAACAAATTAACATTCTACCTCACACATTTCATTTTTCTGTTCTTCCTTTAACAGTGACACTACTTCCATGCATCTTTGTTTTTAAAGCTGACAGAGTTAAGAACTTCTCATGAAGTTTCTTAAATTGCTGGCCATTTGCTGCAGATATAAACTATGAGCTCTTTAACTATTTGTCAAGTTAATATCAACAGTACTTAAGTAGATGCGGTATAGAGGCTTGGGAAAAAAGGTGTATTGAGACCTCAGAATCATCATGTAAAGCATAAGCTAACATACTACACAACTACATACAAATTTATTCTCACATCACCAGCAGCTTTTAGGTGAGAATAACATGAAAACTTTACCAGTAGAGTACCTGGGTACAGCTCAATCACTCTGCTTGATCACTTCTCTCCTTTCCTCTCATTACAGGTCAGCTTTGTGTAATCTGCCCCAGTCTCATCTAACTCTTATCTCTAGACCCAGCTACACTGATGCAAAAGCACACAGCTCAATTATTAAAACATCTTCAGCACTGAGATCAAGGCCCCCCAGTTAATTCTCTGCTCCAGAACAGAGCTCCCAAGAGAAGTTACTTAAGAGCTTGGGAGTGTGGGAGAGATAATACAATATATAGATAGTGGCAGGCACCTGACTTTGACTTGTGTCCAAACCAATAATATCCTCCTCATCCTTTTCAGTTCAGGACGAAGGCATCTAATTTTTTTTAAAAAGCACAGAAGGGTAAGCACATGGAACATGCTTAAAGAGTCTCTATCTGGCCTGAACTCAGCACAGGTTAGTCACCAGGTACCAAACAATTCAATCCAAGCAACGCAAGTATCAGAGCAAGCCTAGTTCAGGGACACAGGGCTGGGGAGAGAAAAATGTCTAATCCCACTGCTCTCCCAGGTATGATGGGAGCAACCAACTCCTTTACTTTACAACAGAAGTTTACCTGAGAGGTGGTAAAATCAAAGTATAGCTCTAATAGGCTTTTTTAAAACATTTAAGAGGCAAAAATTCAAACTCAGAAAATTTTTATTTTCAAAATAAGATACTTTGTACAGAACATTGTAGATCCAAGTAAATCTAGATACAGTAGTCTCCATGATATGATGCAAGGGTTTGCTTTTAGCACAGTCCTTTCACTCTAGCAATCAGAAGGCAAGCCCAGCAAATAGGGAAAAGACATAGTCTTAAAAATCGCTCTTATCTGTCAGAACACGTTAGTTCTAGAGTTCATGAAACGTGCCTAGAGGGTAGAGCACTCTCCACCTCAGATTGTACAGGTATTCACACTATAAAAAATAAAGACAGAACAGGAGATTTTCAATAGGACAGAGGATTTAACAGAACTGCAAGTCTGAGACATATCTTTTCTTTCTTAATTCCTCTCTCCTCCCCTCCCACACACACTGATCTAACTCCCAGAAAGGTATCAACTGTGGATCATGTACACACACTGTGCAAGCAAAAGTCTACGTAACAGGTAAGCTCTGTTCTAGTGCTCAATAAATGCAAGTTGATTCTTCTACTATTCAACTGTACATTATTTATAACATTGCATTCTAAACCTTATACAAAGCTTATATAGTAGTTTCCATGATCAAAATAAGCGCATTTATACACTTTGTGGTTCCCCAGATACAATTTTCATGGCACCTTCTTTTCTACAGCACTGAGTACACAAGACTCATCCACACATCACATTGGAATTCTCCAGCTCCATTTTTGCTGTACTCATGCTTCGTTAATATCATGCAAAATATCCTTCTACAATCACGCAGAGCCAGACACAGAAGTATGGCTGGACTGTTGAGGAGACCACAACACTAACCACATTTGCAAGTGCTCGCAAACTGTATGCAACCCATTACATCTCCCTTTTTAATTTATTTTTAAAAGCCTTTTTGATGAGGCAATCATTCTTCATCATCTGTTACTAAAACCAGGGTGTCTCTTGAGAACATTATCTATTTACGTTTATGCTGCTCTGTGCAACTGGAAGAAGTTCACTTCCAGTTTAAAATGAGTTCACTTTAAGCTGGACTGTAGCTCGGAAGGTCCTTGCTTTATAATTTTTTTTTCAGAGGTAAAAAAATTCAGGCTTCTGATTTCAGTTTGTCATTGCCCCTTTTTCTGATAACCAAATTCAGCAAGTCACCTTTCATGCACTTGTAGGTGACCAAGAGCCACAAGAACCACTGTCTCTCTACTTAACCAAGTGCTGGTCTGGAGGCATCCCTTTTCCTCAGCACCAGTGCTGATTCTGCAAAGAAGCAGTTTGGCAGTTGCAGCAAGAGTGGGGAGAAGTGAACCCACAAATCCAGTAATTTAACTAAGGGTACATTCTGTTTTAAACAGAGTGGCCATTCCACGATGTATGCCAGTATGTTCAGATCACTGTCATCACTAGGCAGTGCTAGTGCTGTGGAGGCTTTTGGTAGTGGCCTCCTCTCATCTGAGCAAAAATATTAAGTGCCACCCCCAACTGCTTCTGCTGTATTTTTTAAGTCACTTGGAGAATCTCCCTTTAAATGGCCAATGTGCACTTTGAATACTCCATAAAACCAAATATTAGTGCTTAGAGACTGCTCAGCTGCAACTGTTAGGGCTTCCTTTTTGAACTTAAGAATGCATTGTTGTTTTAAACAACTCTTGGCTTCTATTCGATCATTTATGTTCAGTAAATTCATACTGCAGAAGTTGGCTAGGAGTTTAGCACATACCTTTCTGTGTTTGGTTCTGTGGACAACAGTGCCCTGAATTTTTGGAACATCTGTATCTTTTTGTGATCAACTTCAAAGCATAAACCTGCAGCACAGATCACTGCATGAATAAAACTCTAATGGCTTAAAGTCCCATCTCCTTTCAGGAACAAAAGAAAGTTACTGGCATGAAAGCAAGGACTGATGCTATCTGATTTGTAAAGTTGTTTAAAAAGAAAACAATGGCCTGTGGGAAAAGGCCTTCATTAAACAATTCCTCCCAAGTATGACTTGCACTGAGATAAGTGAAAGTTCTTTATCCTTTTTTACCCAAAAGGGGAGAGTAGGCAAGCTTTGTAATCTCATTTGATTAAACAATTCACTGTAGGCAATAATATGACACTGGTGAAAGACTATGCAATTTAAAGGCAGTCACAGCTTCAGTCTTCCATCCCAAGTTCTTGTTTCAGACTGAAAGAGAAGTAGAAACGTGAGTTAGCTTGTAGCAAAGCACTGCTTGGAAACTCTTTAGACAAATTAGTGGGAGCTCTGACACTAAACACAGCTGAAGTTGAGAATCAAAAGACAGAGCAGATACACCATTTGTTTAAGGTAAGAACCAACATATCAGAGAAATCATATGGCAACACCTCAGATTCTAAAGGCAACAGGGACTGATCTTGAGATTTACCTAACAAACTGGGATGTGGAGAGCTCTCCTCTCCCAATTGAGCTGCTTATTCCACTTAGAAGAGAACCATGTCACTGACACAACAGCATACTTACCTTTTCAAGTAGGCATGGACGTTGTCATAGCCATGGTACTTGGCCAGATAGACCAGGACACCTGTAGCACATCGGCCATCTCGCTGTCTACAGAAGCTACAGTTGCAGATTCCACGACATGGTGGACACCTCCAGGTCTAGACAAAAGACAGACAACAAGCATTTTTAACTGAACTAGAATGCCAGACACAATTCACACTCACGACTTAAAATAGGCCCCTGCTCCACATCAAGTTCTGCAGTGAACATCAGCACTGCAGAAGTTTTGTACTGGTTGAGACAAGTACAAATGGATCAGTCTGTAAATGACTAAACTCTCCTTTGCCTGCCTGCACATAACCACAGGAAGCATCCCACTCTGCTCAACTCCTGCACCACTTCCACAACAGCAACACTTTGTCCACAATACAGTTCCCTTCCTTAAGGCATTAAGCACTAACGCAAGGCAAAAGAGAACACCATTCTGATGCTCAAACACAAAAGTATTTTGACAGCTGCTCTGCTCTCATAGTTTACTCCTGCAAAAGCTACAAAAGTAGTAACTACAACAAGTTCTACACAACACAAGGTTCTATGATTCAACTTGAATCAAACCATGACCACAGACTGCAGCACTGTAAGCAGTTTCCCTACTAAAACTCTTTAGTTGCAAGTAACCAATGCACCTCTCTAAGTCAAGCACAATAAAGCCAATATTCAAAATTGTCTTACCGGATCCAACAACACAGTCCTGACATCTTCCCCATACCTATTGCGGAGGCATGGCCCGCAGAACTGGCCCCGTACTCCTATGCAATCAGGGTTACGACAATTTGTCTTGGTGTCTATGGTTTTTTGGCGACACTGATGACAGGTGGATCCCTAGAACACAGGGAAAGTAGTTCAGGAAACGACATTAAAATAACTCTTTAGTAAAGGGCATTAAGAAATATAAATAAAAGCATTTAACAAGCATAAATAAGCATAATAAAGCATAAGCAGAATAAAGCATTTAACAAGCAATCTCTGTGGCGGTTATCAGTGTTTATCCTGCAACAGAAAGCCATGTTGCAAGTTACAATCAAGCCTGTTTTAACATTGCATCTTCAGTGTCTGTTAACCACTTCCCTCAACTCGTATTGCCTGGGTACTACAGTTGTTCCAGGGTGAAAACAAGCTACCTGGCTTGGTAAAGGTCATTCTATGAATTCATAGAAAGGTAAGAGATGATATTTCAAGACCTCAGGCATACTTCTCCTAAAAATCACATCCTTCCTCTCAGTGAGATGGAGTCTGCTCTATTTGATGCTAAACCACAAGCAGTGCATAACAAGAAAATGGCTTCAAGTATGCATTTCAGAAAGTTGGAATACACTTACCATGGTCCTGTTATATACTTTATCTCTTGCAGATACACAAATATTATTCAGCTCTTCCGCTGTAATCTCTTCAACTGGGCGTACAATGTGTGGAAAAGCCATGGCACCACGGTGACCCCTCCTGGGAGTTCGGTCTTCATGCTGAAGAGCGAAGACAATACTTTTAGTTTCAGCAAAAACTACATAAACAAGGTGGGTATCTTCAAAGCAATGCCAAAGTCTCAAATACCTATCATACATTCATACAAGAGATACAGACCTTTGCAAAGATATATAATACAGGTGCAGCTTTAACACCTTCACTTCATCTGTCACTTTCAGAGTGCAGAAATGCTACTAGATCTTAACTTCATTCCTGCTGGAGTGCCAGAGGAAGTGACTGTTCAAGCATAAGGCGAGGGGCAAATGGAGAACACATACAATATACTATTTTCTGTACTTCCTCCCAGGGCATGGCATACTTATAATCTTGGTCAACTCTGTGCAAATTGCTATTTACTTGGATACAAAACCACCTTCATGCTCAGCCTCCAACAGGAGAACTAGAACCAAAACATACCTCCAGGTATTCATCAGACATCTTTCTTCTTCTCACTAAGATGTACCGGTCATCATCTTCGTCTTCTGGTAAAGGAGTAGGAGGACCTTCAATCAGGGACCTGGATCTCGTGTGAGGTCGAGAACTTCTATCTGGGTTCCTCCTCAAAGCACTTCTGGGCAATGTACGTCTTGGAAGCCGCTTTGGTCCCTAGTAAAGTTTAAAAGCTCCTAATGAAACAAGCCAAAACCCAGACAGCTCCAGTCCCTACTATGAGTTTCTCCCCCAAAGGACATGACTGTCTTCTGCCTTTCCCGAAGATGAAGTCTTCCCTCATCCCAAATCAGAAGATACAAGGTAAAAACATCCTAGGCAAATTAATCTTGGACATTCTGCTAGCTGCAGAGAATTAGTCAAAGGCACATTTGTGTCCATGTCCATAAGATACAATAATTCCCCCACACAGCAGCAGTACACATATCTATGAGGTTGTAACTTTTAATGCTGCTCCCATCTTCACACATCTTAATAGGTAAATCAGGAGTGAAATTCATCACACTGCCAATTCACAATCCAACCTTCTTTAAAAACTTAAACCAAACGTCAGTTTTTTTCCAAGACTCCAAACTCAGAATATTCAGACTTGAGCATCTAAGTCTGAGCAGCTCCCCTTACCTCCAGCTTTTGGATAAATATGTATTTACAGAGCACCTTGTTTTGTTTTATTGGCCTGTGGAGACACCTAATCTCACCTTTATGAATCAATCTATTCTGCTTTATACAGTGGCACATCAAAAGAGAATTGCACAATGAGAATGCGTTTTAGGAAGCAATAAAATTCTGAACTGGACTTTGATTTACATGGTTTATTATGTTTTTTTAATGGAGAGTCCTGTTTTGTAATGTCAGAATTTGACTCTCAAATCTGAAGGCAAATACAGTAAGTTTATACTTACCTGACTGGCAGCTGGCAATGATTTTTTCCCACCAAAGATACCAGAAACATTTTGCAACTCAGCCATTAGTTTTGCAAGCTAAGGAGGGAAAGAAAAAGGAATTAAGAGCCTTGAAAAAGTGTTTATGTGCTATTACAGACTATTAGATTAGTACAATTGGCTAGAAGTACAATTAATTATAGGAAATGCAGTCACTCTTCAACTTTTTACTTTTATGTCTCCTTTATGTTCTAGTGACTGCAAGTAATTTCAAAGTGCTCAAATTTCATATATTGAAGCCCAATACTTCAGGCTTGCTGCCTATGGATTTTTACTGAAGTACTTAGCCTATGGATTTTCACATGCCAGAAGACATAAAAGTATCAGATTTAAGTATTAGGAATGTAGGCTCCCCTTAATGCATTCACATAATTCCCATTAGAGTTAATTTGAACAAAGAAAGAGGTCCCTTTAGAGTCAAGGGGGGGCAGAAGAAAGGGAGGCCACCAGGGAGACATTGAGTACTTGCCATCGCTTTGTTTTCCTTTATGTTCAAAGCTCTTTTTTCTAAAAACACGGCACCCTTTTCTTCAGAGTCAGAGTCTGAATCTGGAGCAGGCATCACCTTCTCAGGAAGGGGTTCCATCTCACCCTTCCTCCTCCCTGATCTTCGAGGTGGAAACTTCATGGCTACTTTTAGAGGAATAGGACATTTCTGCCTTCTCTGAGGTACCTCACTTTCAGCACTTGTATCATTCTCGTCTGAATCCGATTCCAATTTCTGTTAAACCAGAATGGAAGCATATAAATCCAAGTGAATTGCTCTGCAATTAAATACAGTTCAACAATATTTTGTTTGGGGGTGGTTAAAGAGGCTATCTGGCTGAAATAGAGATACTTAAATCTCCAGTCCTAGTGCCCTAGTATATTTTAAAGGGGTGGGGGGAAAGGAGTAGGAGGAGAGGGAGGTGTAGGGCTAAACCTCTCAGTACCACACTGTACTGCCACAAAACACCAGAAAAAGAAGCTTAGTTTCAGCTGCAGCAGTCTGATCTGTCATTTGCAGTTCTGATAAGAAAAATAGTTTGCGTGTGATTGTGAGAAAGAGAATTGCCTTTAAAGTGCTTGATTTCGCCACATACTGTATCTGGCTCTAAAAAAAAACCCACTACACAGTTCTCAGCACAGGGTCAAACCCAAGTTTGTAAGCTGTCAGGAACTGTCATCTCTCAGCATCAACAAAATGAAGTGAAAACTTTCCCCTAGAGCCAGTCAATAAAATAAATATTAATAAAATCCCAGTATTCTCATCTTTGAATTCTGGTGCCTTGCTTACAACTTCTGCAAGAGCCAAGGGTTCAGCGAGGACAGAAATTAATTTCTTTAGTTAAAAGCCCATTTTGAAATAGTCTTTGACTTTTAGGTTTAGACTCAGTAAGACAGTCTAATTATTTTGATCATAGGTGACAACAGGCTTCCTGCTTCATATGCGCAGACCATTAGTCTCAAATGGCAATCCTTACTGGCACAGGGTTTTTATTAAACCAGGTGTGTGGTTCTGGCTGCCCATTATTGATTCCTTTCTCTTATGTATCTATTTCCAGCTTTGTATCCTACTTAATGTATTTACTGTTGTGAATTATGTAACTCAGACATGTCCTCTTCCAATGAGACATTATTCTTTTCCAGCCATTCCTCAGCATGTTCTGAAGTTAACAACCAACCTATTTTATGCCAAACATGGTACTACTTCTGTCTTCTCTATTAAATACCAACTGTTGGTCTTTTTAAGCAGTAAAACTGCTCTTTCACTGATGTCACATAGGAAGGCAGATTTCACCACCCATCACTATTTCTCTATCGCTAAAGAAGTACAGTATTTCCTATTACAGAGTGCAGGTCTGACCGCATGACAATATAAACACAAGTTTCTCTCAGGTTTCCTGAAGTCCATGGGCTAGGCACAATGTTTTGTATTAAGGAAACCAGAAATATTAGTTTAAGAGAGTAACATCCACCAAAGACAGTTTTAAGAGGTATTGTATTTCAAAATCTATATGGCAGATTTTATTCTGAACTTGCAAAACTCGCAAGCTTAGGGGCTTTTTACAGACACAAAAAGAAAATGAAACTATGGCTATTTAGACTGTACATTAAACAGAATGATGCTTCCTTTTGACAACATTTGACTTTCAAGCTGAAGCTGCCATTATTTGTCAATTAAGATTGTATAAAACTAAATCAACTGTCTTACCAATGCACCTTGAATCTCATTTTCTGAAAAGCCACAGAAGGATTCATCATCAGAAGCTTCATGAAAAATTTTTGCCAGTTCTTCTCTAACACCCAACTTAAACTTGCATTTCTATGAAAAATAAAATATCCTTTAGCTGAAGTTGTACAGAAAATGATTCACATTTACAACTGCAGAATAAGCAAATAGCTTTTTTAATAAAGAAAAAAAATAGTTAAGGCATTTAACAAGGGGTTTCAGAACCGCAGTTGCAAATTATCAGGCATGTTAGGTTAGGTGACATTTCAAAGGCTAGAATAAATAGCTAATCTGTTTCCAACAATTACCACCTAGAAGCACAAGTGAAGAGTGAAATTACAGCATATAGCATAGATTTATAACTGCTATACAAAAACATAAGCAGAGCAAGCAGTTTTAATAGTGCACAAAACATTTACTGGCTTTACCAGCACTATGCATCCAGTTTTATTTGTCCTTGTACTCTACTTACTGTATTTGCAAAATTATCAGAACCAAAACTGTCACAACTGTCATCAGAGGATGACGATGTTTCCATGGGAATCAGTTTTGTATTTCGTAATGTGGTGAAGTTTTTCCTTCCTGAACAACCTTGGCGCTGCAAGAGGACAATGGCAACATCGTTACTAAGAGATCTATTGTAGCGTACTAGCTTTTAAGAACATTCTTAAGTCAAAGTTTAAGAGGTTTGAACATTTTAGGATGTTTAACAGTCTTTAATAGAAGTCAGTAAAATTATCATCAGCTTTGAAATGATTCCCAAAGTTAGAAATGGTAAGAGTTCCTGCTGATACATTTCTGATCATTGTTATAGATGAGCTTTGTTCAGTACTTAGAAATACTTCTTTTATGCAAACAGCCAAGTGGAAATACACACAAAAATCATATCGTTCCCCACTCATAGACTATGCTGAAACAAACTACAAGTACACAAACAGTACCTAGAAATCTTTGATTTATACAAAAATCATATCCTTCCCCACTCATTATAGACTATGCTGAAACAAACTACAAGTACACAAACAGTACCTAGAAATCTTTGATTTATTAATTAATTTTGAAACAAACACTAAATACACTTCATCTGTTAAGGAAGGGACCTCGTATCAACAGAAGAGAGGAGCTTTGAAGCAATTGTTCTAGACATGTTTTGTTGGTTGACATACTTTTTCTGATAGGCTTCGGGGTTTGTATTTCCCAGGGAATGTTTCTACTGGCAGCGACCCATTTTTTCTCCCCAGGGTGGCGGCCACCCGAAGGCCAAGCCTGCTGCACCCACACTTAAGATGCTGCTCAAGTCGAGCACTCCGTTAGCAGTTCACAGGCCCAGCCGACGGGGCCAAATAGTCTATAAATACGGTTTAAAGAGTAACTCGCCAAGGCAATACAAAGATCTCCGTCCTCTCCCAGCACCGCTCAGCACGCTGCTTTCCGCCGGAGCGGCACCGCAGCAGCCCTGAGCCTTGCCTACGCTTCACAGCTCTGACGAGGAACAGAAAAGAGGCCCGGCCCGGCCGCGGCTCCAGACACAAAAGGCGCCGTTTCTGGCGACGCCTGCCGCGGCTAAGGGAGCGCCCCGCCGGAGAAACCCCGCCGCGGCGGGCCGGGC